TTACATCCCTACAATAAGGACTTGCCTCAGATGATGGATAGGGAAGGACAATGGGACTCCTTGTTACCTCCTTACTACCTGAGTACTTTCGTCATGGCCAAGTAGCCCATCCTCAAAAAAAAAACCTGCCAGGTTTCACAGCAGTTCCATCCCTTTCCCTTCAGGCTATGTGAGGAACCATCCTGCTCCAAGCTTTCAAGCCTGATAAAATTCAACAATTAAGGCAAACTCCTTAATTTCACAACACATGGACAGACTTAGACATCGTTTCATCTGGGGAACTGTGACCACCTTAGACCAAACCAAATCCAGAAATGCTACAGAAGCCTGGTACTCTGACGAACTGGCCATCAATAGACACAGAGACATAAACTACATCTACAAACCATTCAAAAGAGACAATAAGCTGAAAAAGGAGGAGAAAAGAGCAAACTAGTCATCAATACCCAGATGAGCAGAGATTAATACCAAGATTCACATCAGACCAATCATCAAGAAGTAAATAATATCCCAATCAAGGAACTGTCAGACAAGCTAATAATAAAGAGGCCAATCAAAAAACATCCAAGACCATTCTTCCTAACACCGACAGGGCAAGCCACTAGAACATAAAACGAGAGCAACCCCACTCTCTTTCAGCACTGATGACATTATCTAGTTTGGGTAATGAAACATTTGCAAGAAAACAATCTAGACATAGTCTTTAAGGCTCAGTGGCTGGAACTGAAACTCAGGAGGCTGGCAAAGCTAAAATTGATCACAGTTCTTGTTTCCTTTAAACAGACCATGCCTCGTCTATTACACTCTAGAAATATGTCTATTTGCCAGTCTGTTGGGAGAAGTTCAGCTGGCCCCTGTCCTGTTTGGTTGTTAAAGAACAGCTTAAGATCCTGTTCAACTAGGCAGGATAACAACTGCTCCCAGACCCATCTGCCTTTTAATTGAATTTTGTTTTAAATATTTAAACAGCTAAACAGCATACTTTTTTTTTTACTGTAGATTATTTTATTGAATTGTTTTACGGTTTTTGCTTTTGTATACTGTTCTGGGACGTTCCCTATTCTTCATGGGAGAAAGAGCCCTACAGTAATAAAATCAACAAAAGTATTTGCCTAAGATATTATCTTTTGACAAGAAAAACATGGAAAAATACACACGCATACACCAAGTGTTAACATTTAGTGTACCTGTGCATTACTGCTCAATATCTTAATCCCCTAGAAGGCAATTTTCTCAGGGAATGCCTGTAGTCCCAGGGCACAAGCTTCACCCAGGAAGCACAGTTTCTTTACATACATTTCAACGTCCATTTACAAAACAAGCATATTCAGCCCTTTCTCTATGTACTTTATTTTTTCTGCCTGTCTCCTGTTGTTCTCAATCCACCACTGCTACTTTTCACATCCCCTTATAATTTTTAAAACTCAGCCGCAATGATAGTAGCATAATCCAGACCAAGAAACATGGCAATAACCTCAAAAGGTTGCAAACAGTGCTGAATATATTGTCAATTATGAAGTCAATTATCTGCACTGCTTATTGTAGTTTTATTGAAGTCCACAAATTTAGGTTTTTATTCTTTCTCTTGTAATGCGCAGGGTGTATTATATTATTATATTATTGTACTTAGAAGTTTTCAAAGGTGTCAAATGAAAAAGCAAGTGCTAAAAGAAAATGATAACCAATTTGAGCACTTAATGTAACATTTATAACATATAGTCTACAGGGTCTGATTTTTTTGTATACTCCTTGTATATATGAAGGTATCAGCATTCAATAAGTACTTTTCATATCGTTTCTCTTATAATTTGGGCTCCAGTATATTTATTGATATTACATGTTCTAAAAACAGCCTTTTAATTTGTTCATTCAAAATCACTCTAAATTAATATGTGCATTTTCCCACAGTCAAATGCATATTAACTAATATGAATGGTTGATTTCTTCAATTTGCATTATTAATTGCACAACATTCTAGACCTGGAAGAAAAAGATCCATTGTGATCATCAGTTCTAAACCTCTATCCAGCATAAGAATCCAACTTAAAGCATTCCTATTGGTGGAGCTGTCCAACCTGCCTGAACACATCTAATAATGTTTTCATCTCACAGTTCAAGCATCCAATATCTATGGTCTGAGTTACTCTTAAATTGAAATTGCCACTATTTCTCCATTTTAGCCACTGCCAAGCTACACTGGTTTTCTTAAACTGTCATGCCACTGCCTTCTTTACCACATAATCCCAAAAAGGGAAGGTTAGTTTACTGGATGAAAATTGTCTAGTATGGTGGGAGCCAGGGATGGCTTCTTAAGAAGGGGTGAACCAAGGCCTCCTTTAGAGATAAAGGAGAAATCCCCTCATTCAAAGAATTGATGACAGTAGAACCCATTCACACAACACCCCCATGACACTTTAACAAGCCAGGAAGGACATGGATCTAGAGAACAGGTGGCTGAGCTCACAGTCCTACATTTACTGCTGAATTACTGCTAAATCTCCATTACTGTCCAAAGACAATGGCATTATGGTGTACCAACATTATGGTGCCTGCAAGGACAGAACATGTTCAGAAAATAAATACTTTGGAAAAGTAGATTTTAGCACAAACAGTTCAATCACAGCATAGCACCGGTTAAAGAAAAACTAAGAATCTTGAAATTACAGTCTGCTGTATTATAATTATAATCTGTGTGCACATGATTATAATCCTTTCCAATGCAAAACCTCCTCATTGGGGAATAAGTCAGTGTCAGAGGAGGAGTAACAAATCCTTCACTCAATGTGCAAAACAACACAGGTGGCAACAAAATAAAAAAAATAGTCAAAGACCCCTCAAAAAAAAAATAACTAGTCATTTTCCGCCTCTTCATGATTGCCCACATAAGCCAGTAGTTTTCTCAATGTTTTTTTTTCCCTCACTCTTCAAAAGTCATGTTCATTTTCAGTTACTCTAAAGATATTAGAATGTCGTTCATGTGCCTTATTTGGTTCTGATTTTATCCATTTATGGAGGGTAAAGTTTCCTTTGAGCTGAACTCAACTCTTTGTAACTCAAAAAATGTTTTCACGCGACCTGTCATAAAAACTGTCAGTTCTTATTAGAAACCACTCAAATTTCTAATAAAGAATTAGGCTTTTGGACAAAGATGTTATCTTGTGAATAATATGCCCCCATAGATATGGACCACACCACTTCCATGTTAAGCTTCTGAGAAATAAATACCTTGTTCTGGTAGAGAACATTGAGGTGATGTTAAGTTTGGGATCTGTTCCTGTTGGATGTTAAAATTACGTTTTATTGTTTTCATGCTTAGTTTTGCTCAGATTTGTTTGGAGTGAAATGATATAGAAATATCAATAATAAAAATATAAATATATTCATATTCTCAAGATCTAACAATGGGAAGTAGTTTATTATTAAAATAAAGAAATTTATATTGGCAAAGTTTCTGGATCAAAATGCTATTCATCATTTTCATGGTATACATTGAGTACATTCTGCCAAGGCATCCTCTCACCTGCAGGCACCTAGATGCATATGTTTTATTCATTTAAAATGATATATACAACTTGATTAATTCTCAGGGCAATGTCATCAATCATTCTATGACAAGCTCCTTACACTGCTGAGGAAATGCTATTGTACTTTTTGCCCTTGCTCTTACCTTTTTGGAGAGTAATTTAACCCCTTACAGATACATATTGAACAGAACTTTTGCATTTGACACAGAGGGATAAGACAGTTTAGACCAGGCATGTCAAACCTGCGACATATCGCAACTTTTTCCCCATTGCTGGCAATGGGGTGGGCGCAGTTTCGTCGTGATGCATCCGGCCTATGAGCTGGCAGTTTGACATGCCTGGTTTAGACTTGAGAATTTTTTTTCTTATCCTCTGGTCTTAATAGCTGGACCTCAACACTTGTTTTACATTATGTGTGGTTGGCATTCTGTGATCTCAGCTGGTTTGTTCTTTACTTTATTCTTCTACAATGTGAGTTTTCTGCTCTAGTCTTGGCATATTATTGGGAAGCCAAACATGACATTTGTGCCAGTAAGGGATCTTTTCAGCAAATTTTCAACACAGAAACAGTTGACTTCCAGATCTACCATAGCATACATTGAAGACAATTTTTCAGGATTAATACTACAACTCTGAAGTAGCTAGTTTCCTATCCTGCCTCCAGGATCCTCATCTCTCCCCTCTTCCTTGGATTATGGGGTTCCCAGAATGTGTAAGAGAATTAATGGTACAGCACAGGAACAAATGAATCGTGTCTTAAATGGTGTTTGTCATTTCCTTATGTTAGATGTGCCTGCCATATAAAAAGACAAATTAGGAAATGTAAGGTAGGTAAAGTATGGGAATTAAGCAGAGGCTCAGATCAGCTCTAATTAAAAAAAAAAAATCCAAGTCCCTTTCATAAAAAAGGAAAGGAAAATGTTATGACTTCAATTTTTGGAAATTAACAACCAGTGCCACTGCAACGGAGGAGCTATGAACTGACTAATAGCACTGCTAAATTAGAGCTATTAAAATATGCAAAAAAAATAAATGCCTCACTTAGAATTTATGTAATGGTTTTTAATTCTTCTACCCAGTCTTGAATTAGAGCATAATAAAATATCTATACTTTTTTAATTTCTCAATATGTTTCTATGCATGTGATTTTACTTAATACAGATAGAAAGATGTATTGGAGTGATTTAATTACCCTATTGAATGAAATGTTATGGAAATTATACTTATTTTTTATAAAAAGGCATATTCTCTTTCTCTTGACCTTATGTCAGTTGAGGACATACTCTGAATGGGAGTCTTGCAAAACCAGGCAACCCCCTTATGGGATAGTCAACCCTTGGCTTGTACTTGCTAACGGGAAAGTCTCACCTTAATTCTGCCATTTCTCTTAAAGCTCGGGCTTGTTATATATGTTTTACATTCATTACTTTACATTAATTTTCTCTAGACAAAATAAAGTGTTGTACTACATTGCAGCCTCACTGTTAGGAATGAAGATAGAGGGGACAGCACAGGAAGACCGACACACAGTAGCAAACTGGAGAGCATCCAGGTCATTGAAGAGTGGTAAGTTTTTCATTTGTATTGTCTGAGAAAATTGCTGAGGTTCATTCTTACACACTCTCTCCTTGTTTAGCAACTACATGACAAAGGGAGAGAGGGAGGGAGAGAGAAAGATGGAGAAAGAGAAAGGGAGGGAGAGAGAGGGAGAGAGAAAGGGAGAGAGGGAGAGAGAGGGAAAGAAGGAAGAGGGGGAGAGGGCGAGGGAGGGAGAGAGAGGGAGAGAGAAAGAGAGAGAGAGGGAGAGGGGAGAGGGAGAGAGAAAGAGGGAGAGGGGGGAGAGAGAGAAAGAGGGAGAGAGAGAGGGAGAGGAGAGAGAAAAAGAGGAAGAGAGGGAAACAGACAGGGAGAAAGAGAAAGGGAGAGAGAGAGGGAGAAAGAGCGGGAGAGGAGAGAGAGAAAGAGGGAGAGGGAGAAGGGGGAGAGAGAGGGAGAGAGAGAGGGAGAGGGGAGAGAGAGAGAGATGCTGTGAAGATCCCAGATTGCTATTGTCTCATTCAGATAAAGTTCTCTCAATTTTACCTGAATGGACAATAACCGCGTGGGATCTTGTCCTATGCCTCACCTGTTTATTTCCTGTTTTTTGTCCCCTCACAAGGAGGAGAGCTTGCTTACATCAACTACAGTCTCTCTTCCTGAGCTGCTTTTCTCCACAGCAAAGTGCTTTCCTAAGAAATGATAATGGGAAGTTAAACTGAGCTCTCTGACCTTAATTAGTTGATTAGAACATTCCTGCCTCCCACTGCTGCCTGAAACTGATCAGGCCTGGTTTAAAATGATTTTTTCTTTACTATGTAGACGGTAATCTATATCTGTTTTCAAATGGTCACTACCTGAAGTAGTTCTAAATGAGGAATGGCTAAATGCCTTACCTCAGTGGTTCTCAACCTATGGGTCGCGACCCCATTTGGGGTCGATCGACCATTTCCCGGGGGTCGCCAAGCAAGGCTGTCCGTCATTTTTTTCCCCTTTTCCGGCAGGTGCCTTACCTCCCTTGGGCTGGGCCAGCTGGTGGTCGGCCTGCTCCGTCTCTGCCGCTTGCCAGCTACGCCTCGGCCGGCGCAGGGGGCGGAACCATGCATGCGCGGCGCTCCCGGGCAGGGAAAGTCCTCGACTTACGACCGGTTGGGTAGTCTTCGACTTACGACCGGTTTAGTCCTCATCTTACAACCGGTTTAGTCCTCGACTTACGACCGGTTGGGGGTCGCGGCATTAAAAAGGTTGAGAACCACTGCCTTACCTGATCTTAAGTTCACAGAAAATTTCCTATGCATATACATACATACATAAGAAAAAGTTACATAAAATTGCAACCAGGAATCTAGGTTTTTCATTTGCTTGCCTTGTTCTTTAAAGATACGTTTTAAAATACACTCTAACATACACTTTAAAGCATAAAGTGATATACTTTTAAAAATGGGAGGGGTAATAATAAATTACCTTATGTAACTAACCAGAATAAGCTTGTCTTCCATAACAATAAAAGAGCGATTAAGGCATAGAAGAGGACATATTTACTGTACATACTATTTTTGTTAAATAGCTTACTTTAAAATATGCCAACAAGAATGGAGGCAATGTTTAAAATTCACAGAGATTTTATTTAATGTAACCTATGAGTTTTTCAGGTGGGATTTTTGGAAGACAGGAAGCACTTATATCACTCTTGTAGCAAAAAAAATCTCAACATTTTCTTCTCAGACAGAGAATTACTCATTATTTCCTCCATTAAATTATAACAATTCTCATTTTGATGCATTCACTTCTAATTTGTGTTCATTGGCATAATTCTGCCATATTTAGCAATATTAATATTCCTGTGATATATTTTCAATGGTAGGTGCTTTTTCAAAGCCACTCTTCTTAAAGTGAAATTGTTCTGTGTTTATAATTTTCATTCCTAGTTTTCTCTGATTTTGCACTTCATCACAGTGCCATCCTGTGGTCAAAGTATGTTTCTGCAATACAGTATCTACTTTTCAAAGTAGTTCCCTGTTATCTACTGCCAAGGCTTCATTTTTTGATCCTTTATTTATACTATTTGGATAATGTATTTCTCCACACAAATAGATGGTAATATACATTTTAAAATTCATACACACACACACACATACATATACATAATCAAATATATACATAATCAAATCAAGCTTGACTATAAAGGCACATCCTTGCTAATTTCTTGACAGCAATAAGAAACTGATTCTCCCATGCCTTATTTTAGGTTATTCTTTTTTAAACTGCCCAGTTTAAGTTACATGCCTAGAATTCCATTGTAATCTCCCATCCAAGTATTAACCAGAGTCAACCCTGTTTAGTTTCTAAATCCAAACAAAAGTTGGGCAATTATTGCCACCTACTACTGTGAGACATTTTTCTGGGCTGCATACTACAGCATAAATTGCTAACTAAAGAAGAAGTGTGTGTCAGAGGAAGAGATAGATACTATCATCAATGCAACAGACATGAATTTGGGCAAACGTTGGGAGACAGTGGAGGCCAAGGGGGCCTGATGTGCTATGGTCCATGGGTTGCAAGGAGTTAGACACGATTTTATGACCGAACAACAACAATTCTGTCTTCTTTATTGCCAGTTTATCAGAAGAGTATTTGAGCTTCAGGTTTTTTTTTTCTTAGAATGCTTTTAGTATAAAAACAAAAAAAGGAATCATTTGCATCTTCTTCTATAGAGATTTTGCACACATTTTTTCTAATTTATACAAATACCTATTTCTGAAGAAATATTTTAAAAAAAACATAAAATGTCCTGCTTGTCCTTTGACACTTAAATTCTTCAAAGTTTGGCTTTTAAAATATAAATGCCCTCCAATTTATATAAAAGGTATATCTGCAGCTGTTTGTACACAGTATCAATTAGTATACTTTTGAAAAGATGTTTTTGTATACATTTTTGACCTGGGAACCATGAAGCCAGTAGACTATACAACAGCAAAGTCTAATTCATAAAAGCATCCAAATTCAGAAACTCATCAGGGAATAATAAATAATAGTGTGCTTTGATGTCATTTTGCCATTATAAAGTCTGATAGGAACAAAGCATACAAATTTGCTTCCAATGGAATAAATAGTGATTGTTTTTATATATCTTTAAGGTCACCTATCCCTATCAATTGATCTGTGATTTTTTTTTTATTCCCTGATAATTCCACTGCTAACCAATGATAGCAATAATTGGCCAGTAGGTGCCGATAATCAAAACAAACAAAGATTGAAGTGCCAAAGTAACCATAATTATTTATTTAAAGATTTGCACTCCATATTTGGGTTATAAAATTGATTTAAAAACATGAACATCCATGTATTTATAAATATATACGGCGAATGTTATATCAAACACACATAGAGTAAATCTATTGCACACCATCAATCTTTCCACTTCTTTTAATTATAAAAGATATACTTTCTCCCTAAATAAAAGGAAGATGTTTTATTTTTTTATTAAAAGCCAAGATAAACAGACCAAAGCAGAGGAACGCATTAAAAGACATTTGTTACAAAAACAGTGTTTGAAGCATTTGGCATTAAGGAATTTCTTATCATTCCATCATGAATTCAATTGGGAATTAATCCAGGACTTTCTTGGTAGCAGGTCCATAGTAGATCTCTCTCAGGACAAATGGTAGCCAGAAAGGATCAGTGAATCTATAAACCACACAATACAGTATGAACTAAGCCATGTTGCATAGTTGCATAGATATGATTTATAGACTGGGTACAACTTTTCAAGTACTCTTGAAGCACGCATAGGTTCATTTTCACTGTTTCCATTATGGGTGTTAAAGCTAATCTGAATAGGGTTTCAGGTGTCTGTTGCACAATAATGTTTTAAGTTAGTATTCCAGTCATAGTCCAAACTGAGGGAAGTGTGCTTAATTTGAGGATGAAGTGGTGGCTCTCTTCCCATTTCCTCCTCTGCATTCTGGAAACATCTAGAATTGTTCATTTCAAAAGAAATATATGCTAATTGAATATCATTCAAGCCAGTAGGTCAAAATAAAAGAGAACCATGAGGATGCTGAGAAAAATATAAAAAAGAAACAGGTGCATGTTAAATACTCGTTGTCTAACAAGTGTTTTTGGTTGCTCACTGGGATTTCTCTTTCTCTATATAAGTCTAAATGTTATTGCTATTGCTACTTCCTTCCTTCCTTCCTTCCTTCCTTCCTTTTTTTTTCTTTATTTCTCTGCCAACTGTTTCTACCATGTATTCTTGCTGAAAAGAAGTAAAAGCCAACCCATGAGGCAAAAAGTTACTTATTCCAAGCAGCCTTATAATATTTGATTGGTGCCAATCTTGAAAGAGAATTTGTGATTAGACTTGAACATTGCTACTGATGCAGTAGCAATTTCACTGATTAGATGCAAATTTATTTTGGTGGGCTTTGACTCATAATTCACACCATGTGGAGCACCTTTCTATTAATTTTTAATCCCATTGGAAGAAAGAGAAATCACTTTCAGAGCCTCTTCAAAGGAAAGTTAGAAGATGCTTCAGGTATGAGTTCATGTCCTGCATTTCGACATAACATCTTCCAGTGCTGTTTTCCTGACTTCCCGTGCCCATTAAATCCCAAAGAAACACATTAGCAGGCAGCAATGTCTTGGATTTTTGAAAGTCAGGCAAGTTGCGAAATGATGGAATGCTAACTAATAAGGGATAAAAAAATTTAAAGAACAGTACCAATATACTCTAGTCAGTAAACTCAAAATTCCAATTAAAAGAAATTGAATTTGAAAGGATAGTGAGATATAGTGGTGAAGATGTTAGATTGGCAATAAGTAGAGTTTAATGCATCTCTTGAGTGCCTTTGGGCCAGCCCAATCTACCTCTCACAGGGTGATTCTTATGGGGGGGGGGGATAGGAAGAAGGAGTGCTTGGAAGGCCTGAACTCCTGAATAAGAGACAGCAGGATGCTTCACAAATAAACATTTAGGGGGAAATACTTAGGGGAAATTGGAAGACATTTCAGCCTATATTATTGTTAAACAAAGTCCAATGGAAAATAAACAACATTCAGTGAGGTTATAGACTGCACCAGGGGTCTTCAAACTTGGCCCTTTTATGACTTGTGGACTTCAACTCCCAGAATGCCTCAGCCAGGCATGCTGGCTGAGGCATTCTGGGAGTTGAAGTCCACAAGTCATAAAAGGAGGACCAAGTTTGAAGACCCCTGGACTACACAGAGTGGCCCAGGAGATATGAATTCTAGAGAAACAAGTTAGTTGTAGCTGACTTAAACAATGTGGCCTTCTTCAGGACTCGGGTTTCAAAACTGTGTCTATTTCATTGGGATAAATCCCATTAAATAATATAAGACCAACTGCAAATCAAACCACTGTATGATCATATTTGTATTAGTCTGACACTTTGGGGTATTGTCTACACTGATGGTTATTTTTTTGCAGCCAAAATCCCACCGCTGATGAAATTCTGTCTTGGGCTCAGAATTTTGACAGGATGATGAAAACAGCAGCCGGTAGGAATATTTTCAGAGAATTTCTTCGAACAGAGTATAGCGAAGAGAACCTCCTATTCTGGTTAGCATGTGAAGACCTGAAAAAAGAACAGAACAAGGATGCTATTGAAGAAAAAGCCAGACTTATATACGAAGACTACATCTCTATACTATCGCCAAAAGAGGTAGTCTTTAAAAATCCACCAAAGAATATTGGATGTACACAATGGTTTTTTTGCATGTACAGTGTGATAAATTTAGAACATTCTCGTCACCAGAAATCTGTGAAAAAATGTGACCCATATGATAGATAGTAAGGTGGTATAATGAATAAACTGTTGGGGTAATCCTAGATGTTAAGCTAAAGTTCTAATCTACCTTCAACTATGGAAGTGTGTGTGTGTGTGTGTATTTCATATGTCTATGGTAGGATCTTTGCAATGGATCCAGAGTTTCCATGAGCAAAAGTATAACGATAAAGCAATTTTCAGCTAATCCTTTCCCCATCTGCCTTTATATCCCCAGAAAACGTGATTTCTCATCCTTCCATTTCTTCCCACAGGAGGCACTGTTGATTTTTTTCTACTCGTGACAGGAACCTCTGGATCCAAACAATTCAGATGAATTTATTCTATAGTAAAAGTGTTTAGGAATGCAGGCTTACATTTTTAATATAATTTCTTCTAGCATCCATTAAGAAATTACTTTGTTCTTTGTTTACTGTAGCATAGCATTAATTACCTACATTGATGTCTTTATAGATTCTCAATTATCCAGGCCATTGTTATCACAACGGTGCTTTTCCAAAAGGCAACTGGACCGGTTTTTTTCTTTGAAAAGATTTCACTTCTCATCCAAGAAACTTCTTGTTACAACTGAAGAAGCTTCCTGTCCAGTTTCCCTTTGGAAAAAGCACCTTTGGGACTACTTACACTGACATTAAATATATGTAGCAGATTTAACTCACTTAGTAGAGATTGTATAAGATGAACTAGCATTGTTTTAACTTGCACATTTCAAAATCATTGCTTCATTGTCTTCAAATGAATAGTAGGTTTGTTTTTGTTTAATTTATGATTTCACTGAATTTTTTTTAGAACCTAAAATATGGTATTTGGTACCAAGGCAAATATAAACATTTTCCCAGTTAAAGACTCAATGGTGATTTGATTTTGATGCCAATATGTTTTCTACATATGTCCTGGACCTAAAGAATATTATATTTAACATCAGTTTGTAATGACATTACACTAAGGCAAATATCTCTCTAAACCAGACAAGCTAAATTTATAGACTTAATTTTGGTTTCATTGGTTGGAAAACACCCTGGAGAATACATATGGCATACCAGTTGTAATTGGTTTATGAAGATAATTCTTTATAGGTAAAGTCCCAGTAAGTCCAGTTGTACTTAATCTGAAAATATGCTGATTGACCCGCATAAGTTCTTCAAGGTGAAAAATTCACTGTCTTTTCTTCTCCTCCTTAGGTTAGCTTAGATTCACGGGTGCGAGAAGTGATCAACAGAAATTTGTTGGACCCCAACTCTCAAATGTATGAAGATGCTCAACTTCAAATCTACACATTAATGCACAGAGACTCTTTCCCTAGGTTTTTGAACTCTCAGATCTATAAATCTCTTCTCGAAAGTACAAGGAGCTCTACTTCTGAGACTTAAAAAAATAATTTGGGGGTTTGAAATCTTGATTTAGCTTTTGGGGAAATGGGTGGGGTAAGGACTATTAGGATGAAGACAGACGTAACATTTTTAAAGTGACAGGGCTGCTCTGGAAGCACCTTCACCGCATTTAGTCCAAAATGTACCCTTCCCCTCCAGAGTCAAGCTCTGGAAAAACCAGTCCTGCTCCTTGAGGCAGAAGCTGGCTGTGCATGGTGCTGATTTGTGGAGCCCCATCCCCACCCCCATGATGTCACCAAGAAACCTCCCCTGCAATAGCTGGAACAATTTTGCACTTTAAGAAGAGTTTCCTTTTTAAATGAAGAAGGCAGGAAATGAACAGATACGTGGCCTAGCATTCATCCGTCCTTTTGTTTTGGGTGGACAGGGGCAGGGAGAGTGACAAGACTGGAAAGCGTGCCAGTTTTTCAATTCGTTGTTCTTCGTGGCTGCCATTTCAGCTGCCAATTCTGATGGGAAGATGGGCTCATCCAGAGCTGAGGGATGAACTGAGAGCTCTCTTTTTATATTATATCTGTCTTCACCTTAGTAGTTCAATAACATCTGGAACTGGAGTTCCTGGAGAACTACAGTTTGGCACTACTCTGGCTACTGTGAAGCAAACAAATACACGCAAAGGTCTTTGTCTACATTTATCAAGGTCTATCATTCTTGATTTTGGAAGGGAGGGATTTGCCAAATCAAACTTAGCCACACACTTTTACACCTGCAGTTAAGATTGCAATGATGTTCTTGTCATTTTAATGAAGAGTTTCCTTGTGTATCCTCACACTGCATGTGCAAAGCAAAACTGCTTCACTTTATCACTTAGTTGTTGCAATATTTAATCCAACAACATAAATTATATCTATATTTAAGAACATTGTGTGCAATATGGTTTTATGGTACCACACGCATAGGGATTATTGGAGTGAACCAGAAAACAATCTGACTTGGGTTTAGCAATGTTATTCCCCATGTTCTGTGGAGAAAAATCTGTTGCTATATAAGACAGACAACATTTCTATATAAGAAAAATAGCAAGAAGCAAATGTTATTTATCATCATTTATTTAAAATTCAAAACAGAGGATTCCTCTGGTTATTAACTGCCAGAATTGTGGTACTTTCATTACAGAAATGTCAAAACTAACAACAAACATCAAAGCACAAGCTATATGAAAGAAATCAAATGGAGAGACACAGTCTCTATAAACTGACATTGTTTATAATTGTTATAAAAACAGATAATCAATGTACATTTCAGATGTCAGATACTGTAATGGATTTATTAAAGACTGGCTATCCAGTTATCTAAAATTGTTGTGTAATGTTATGTAATTCACAAAAGAAAAGAAACAAAAAAAAATCTTCCATTCCATTCTAGAATCAACTCTAGAAAAAAATATGTTTTTAATTTATAAAATAATTTTTTTAAAATGTATAAATGTAGCATTTTGGTCAGCATTGGAGGCTAGCATTTGTCTATACATTTGCTTTTCTTAAAAGTTCTGTCCTGTGGAAAGGAAAATTTATGTTTTTTAAAGGAAAAGCTAAGAAAGAATATCTTCTCGCGTTCCTAATTTTAAAAGGTTCATTTATGGGCCAGTGCTGTAGAGATTTAATAAATGTTAAATTCAAATCTACTGGCCCAAAAATAGTGGCAAGAGTTGTTCTTTTTTTCTTTTTCTTTTTCTTTTTTTAAATAAACATCTTTCTAAGCACTAGTAAAAATGAAGACAATATGGGGTCCTCTGTTTACCTTGAATTTAATTTGCCAGGGTCAGTCTTTTGCACAAGCCATCCTATAATGAATGTGGATTTAGCCAAGAGCTGTTTTTCTCTTGTGAAACTCCCATTTACTGCAAATGTGCAATTGAAAAGTCCCTTGGAGATCCTTTCCTTTGCTGCTAGTTCAGTTTTGTAAGTAGTTACCTGACTTTTCTTTTTTTTTAAAAAAATCCCAATTTCCATAAGTGCTTGCATCTTTAAAAAGAAATAGCAAATTTCTAAGCAAAACAACCAAAAAAACCCTGTCTTAGAACTTGTTCATTTTAATATTCAGTCTTGATATTTTCTTTGAAGAATTGTTAAGGTGCCACAAAACAGATACATATTGAAGGTATTATTATGAACTCCAGATTTGATGCTTGGAGACATTCTATAAACTGATTCTTCTCCCTGAAGTTAACTTCTTGTTGCTGTCAATGATGAAGATGTGGCGTTAAACAAATAGAATCAAGTTATTTAATGTTAGCTGCTTGTCTGCAAATTTTTTCTGAGTTCATCTACATCATAATGTGGATGTATTCACTAAGCATGCCGAGTCTCATTCATTGAAGGGGAATTTTTGCTGGAGCAAAGTTGTGAATTTTGCCCTCTGAGGTTGCAGTGGCCAAAGAAAGTAATATATAAGATGACATTAAGCACTGGATTGTTCATTCTAGTCCTAAACATCTGTGCCAGCAGTGCCCCTCCCCCCACATGCTTGCATAATACTGGAATCTCTTGACCATCTAGTGTCCTTGAGTGCTATATATCCCCAGTAAAAGTCCTTTGTTGCTAGTAATTATGCCATTCATTTATTTCGGAAGGGATTCATTCTTTTTCTCTTTCACTACCTCTTCATATTTAATTTATTGAACATGTGTCAAAGGGCAGAAGTATGTTTGGGAATATACTTATTACTTTACATACAATACTTGAAATCTGTAAGCTTAAGAGGCATGGTGGGGAGAGGTGGACAATTTAGCTAACCATTTCTTAAGATCTTTTGGTTTTGTAATTTATACAGAATTCAGGAGACAAGACTTTTGTAAACAAAAAAAGGGCTATTCTTTATTCCCTATGCAACTCTTTTAACTGTTGTAGTGTTTGACAAAATGGGATTTAAAAAAAAAGGCAAAAAAGTAAGAGAAAATTCTGCAAAGCAGGAAAAATAAAAGGTCTGTTTACACTGGCGTTTGCTGACTATCCTACCATACTCAGCACTTTTAAATATTGTTGTGTATGAAAATGTAGTTTAAAATGCAAGACAAACTATTTATAAAGGACATTCTTTTAATAAATATCTGTTTTATCTGAAAAGTGTTATTGTGTTATGATATACTTTATTCATGTTGGTTATTAATTTACCATTATGAATAAATTTTAAAGGTATATTGATAGAATCATATCTTTGAAGACGTTTACAAAAACAACCTTTTTTTTCTAAAGGAGAAGGTAGCAAGAAAAGAAAAAAAAAGCAAACAACTGCCTCCTCCTACTGTGAATTTCTCATAATGAAATAATTTAAGGCTCATTATCTGAAATAACTGTGGTATTACATATTTATAACACCACAGTAAAAGTTACATTTCCTATGGTACTCTGCATATATATCTCTGTACATATTTATATGATGTGGATTCTGGTTTGTTATGGTGTTTGAGACACAACTATCTCTGGTGCACATAACTAGGTCTATGTAATTAGAGAATATCGCATGTATTCAACTTTCAATATTGAGACTTCATATTTTCAATGTTACTATTTGATGGTGACCTGTTAACCAGAAGCTATCTTTATAAGATACTTTTACTACAGTAAGGGAGATGTCAGTTTGACAGGACACCTTTCCTGAGGAACTTTAACCAAATATAAATGTGAGGGTCTGCCAATAGCACTTAGAATTATGGTACTAGACTTCCTTTTATGAGTATTTGATCATGATATGGGAGGGGATATAAGATGTTACGTTTAAACTGTTTCTGAAATTACTAAGTGTGTTGTTGCAGTGAGACTATGTTACCATAAGAGCCTAAATCCTGAATTTTACTGGATTTATAGGTTGGCCTATTGAGCACTCTGTATTTTATATGTTCTTCCTAGGAATGAATGTATATTTTAAATCCATCTTGGAAATATACATACACACCCACACCGCATAACCCTTGTGTCATTTAAAGAGATACGAAAACAAAGGTGGTTGTTGATGTCAACTTTCTGCAACTAAGAGGAATAGCCAAATTTATCTCATTCCACTTTTGCTTACCTCAGTTTTCAGTTCTCTGAAAGTAATATTGACGGTATTTAGAATGACAACATAATCTCATTGCTCTCAGTCAATTTGCAACATATGAGCAGCCAATGATTACACTTCTAAAATGATTATTGTGCATGTACTATACAATACTTTTAATATAAATGAATTGCTTAATTATACTTAACCACAGGCAGAAATAGACTGAAGATGTATTTACTTCCTGTTTGGGGATTTTAATGAGATCACAAATATATAAAATAAATATAATGCTTTTGATTAACAGATCATTGTGACTAAGTTATATGTACAAGTGGTCATGAAAATGTCGTTCAAGACTCTCAGTCATCCTAGTGCAGTTGGTGTTTCTACAAGCTATAACAACATTGTCTTTTCCCATGTCTTTCTGATGGGCCCTCAACCCACAAACAAGGTTTTTCATGGACATCATGGGGAAGAGAAACTTCTGGTCAGTAAAATTGGGGCCTAAGTTGTAATTGCTCCCTCCCTCCATACTGATACACTTCATATCATATTTCTTCTCTTGCTAAATAATCATTCTGTTGTACTAGATAAATAAATCTTCCATCAACTTTTCTGTGGGTGTGGAGCAGACATTGTTTTGTTTATTAACATCAATTAATTGAAGGTTTCCAATCTACCCCAATTATAAAAGAAGGAAAATGAAATGCCCAGTGTTAGTATGATTCCAACATAATTGCCATATGTCAACAGGACAGCAATAAGCCTACTTGTTGCTTATACAACAGTTAAGGTATCAGTTAATCCTTTAATGAATTCATGCTGTCAGGAAAGTTTTCAGTTAAGGGGAAAAATATGAACCTTTGCAAGAATTAAAGAAGGTTACAGTTTTAATATGAACTGGAATGATGTGTTACTGACTGATCGTTAAGCAAATAGATTCTGTATTGTTATGATGAAAAATCCATGGATATGTCCATGAAGTTATCATATTCCAACTGGGTTATGAAAATTAATGAAATCTTTTTAGAACGCATTCTTTCTTTGAACCACAATCTTTATAGCAGTGAGGTGCTATTGCAAGATAAGAAGTTATACTGTTTCTGGAATATGCATTTTCTTGAGACTAAGGGGTGGGTGACTTTTTCTTTTTTTTTAGTTTTGTGTGTCATCTGCACTCTCATAGAAGAGCTGCCATTGGGGAGGGCTGCCCAGTCATAAGGCCAGTCACAAAAGTCTTTAAAACAGGGGTAACCATCCTTGGAAACTTCTAAGACTTGTGGACTTTTATTGTTATTTGTTTTAATATGCTGTGCACCGCCCTGAGTCCTCCGGGAGAAGGGCGGTATATAAATTTAATCAAATAAATAAATAAATAAATAAACTTCAATTCATGCTTCATGCTGACTAGAGAATTCTGGGAATTGAAGTCCACAGTCTTAAAGTTGGCAAGATTGGACACCCCTGCTTTAGAAGGCAAACTAATGAAGCTGCTCCCTGCCACGTCTTCTTATATAGGTTTATCCTTTTTTCTGTCAAACATATACTTCCAAATAATGCTGTAGCCACCCAACATTTTTTATCTTTTAAGATATAACAGGCCTCCCATATGCCAGGTGCTTTGCTGTGCCCATCCCAGATTTCTGATCCTTCATTCCTTTTTTAATTAAAAAGATCTTATAACAATGAAATCAGGTGGATGAGGGAGTCTGAGGAATGACAATACAAATCTTTGCTGGCACCCTGCTGTCCCCTTCTGTCCTAGAGCTAGGCTCATACACTGCAGAACAAGCTATTTGGGCTAATGTGTTCCCAAGACCAAATGTTGCTACTTCCATTTGATTTAATAGGACAGAAGCAGGAAAATGCTGAATGCAATGTCAAGTGCCTTTTGAGACAACCTCAACTCCTTGTTACTTCACAGCCCGACTGAGATAGTTTTCTTGGCAGGAATACAGAAGGGGTTTGTCATCTTTTCTTTCTGGGACAATTCTCACTGCCCATGTTATCCTCTCACACTAAAACTTTCTCATCCATGTACTAATTGGAGTCCACCCTGTTTAGTTTCCAACCACAAACTAAATCATCTTTATCTATCTATCTATCTATCTATCTATCTATCTATCTATCTATCTATCTATCTATCTATCTATCTATCTATCTATCTATCTATCTATCTATCTATCTATCTATCTATCTATCTATCTATCTATCTATCTATCTTAGTTTATTTGCTGACCATCTCATAGTTGAAGGTGAATCTTTAAATCAAACTTAGTTTTTATTTATTGAATATATATCCTGCCTTTTGTACATGAGCTAATGATGGCATAGGTAGTGCCCTCTCCTCCTGTTTGTCCCCACAACAATAATCCTAGGAGCTGGGCTGGGTTGAGAGAGATGACTGGCCCAATGTCACCTAGTGATCTTCTGTGGCTGAGGATGTGAATTCTGTCCATTTAGGCAGCAGTCCTTCTGGCATCCGAGAGACCTATCCGAAAGATCACAAACCCAAACAGATATCTTTGTGATTGGAGACACAACTCCAGTCTTGGGTATCAGAAACTATCCCTGGTCTACAGCCCCTTAAATAATAATTGGGAGATAGAAAGATTAAGAAGCTTAAGCAGTTGTCTGGCATGTTGCAGTGATTCCTTCTTTTTGAAAGACTCTTTTCAAGTTCATCCCTGGTTTCTTTTACCTGGGCCTCTCCATTCAAGGAAAATTCTAAACAAGCTAGCGAGAGGGCATAAATTATTTCCAATGATTCTATTTCTTGCAATTATCACTTGGGGGGAAAATGACTTCCCAGGAGGGAATAAGAAATGCCTCTTCATAAGACACTTTCACCTGCTGGTCTGTAAACAGCAGAGCACTTGTTTCCTTAGGAGCTGTGATACTGAGCCTTTCTTGAAATTACTCTGTAAATGTTTACTGACCAAATTAGAAATCCAAATTACTTTATACACATCATGTAATCTGCTCCCATGGGGATTAAACAAGCTCAGAGTTCTCAATAGTGCATCAGAAATAAATGGCTATTAAACTAATCTCCTCTAAATTTGGGAGGTAACCAATCTAAATTCATACTGTACATGAAGTTTGTTTAAATTGTTCATATAAAAGGGAGTGATAAAATTAATTCTTCCAAATGATTATAGTTTAAGATTGCCTAGCACAAATTTACAGATAACAACACTCAAAGTATAAACCAGTTTTAATCTTCACATTTAGGTTAAATACACTGCACTCTTATTGCACTTTCTCCAAAGTAAATATGTCCTGAACTGCACAATTTGCTTAAGTCCATCAAACCTTTTTGCAAGAGGCAAAGAAAAAGCCTTGAAGTTGGAAGAACTACACAGAACAAAAACTTGCATCCTAATTTCTGTAAATATCTGTTTCATACTAAACAGGATGAACAATGCAAGGCTCTTGTGTTATCCCTGAACTCAACAGCAAGGCTCTTGTGTTATCCCTGAACTCAACAGCAGAGTTCCAAACAATTGCTGTTTGATTTCCCTCAGAGTTTCAGCAGGAAATGAAAAAAAAAGTGTCACCTTAAAGATTTAAGGGTCTTCCTCATATCCCGGTAAGAGTGCCCTGCTCCCACCCTTGAGACAGGAGGAAAGTAGAAAATGGTTGTTGTTCTTTTGCCAGACCTGGAAAACATGCTCAGCAAACTTGCTGCCCTCACATGAAACCATTGGTTTCTGCAGCAGCTATTGGGAAAGTGGGTAGAAAAGGGGACAGTCAAATCTAGTAGTAGTAGTGCTGACTTTGTGAAATATCTTCCATGAGGTCAGTAGTCATAAAAAGGAAAGAAAATATTGACTGCTGGACAAGGCTGTCTTCTCTGACAGAAATGCTGACAGAGCTTCATGGTTGGATGAGAGGAGGCAGGCCTGTGGCAGGCCTAATAGAGCCTGATCTTCATTATGCTCTGTTCCCTGCAAATCAGAATGTATGCAGAAAGGAAGGCATGCTCCATTCAGTTGGAAAGCACTAGTTCCCTAACAGATCGGTCTGATCCAGCTTCCTAACCAGAAGAATGGGCAAGTAGAAGCTCCAATGTGAGAACATGTCCTCAATAACAGGTAAGCTGACCACTTTGGAACCCTGCAGGTGAAACCTTAGTTTACACAAACACTTTTGGAGGGCCAATATACTTTATCAGACACACAGAATAGAGAGCTGAGAAATAAACTATCATGGAGACGGGTGGAGAAGCACAAGATCTGCCCTTGGAGATCACTGAAGACCATTAGGAAACTTCAACTTCAGAATGGAGCTGCACAAGTAGTCATTGGTACTAGATATATGGCACAGGTAACACAACTCCTGCATGAGTTGCACTGGTTACCAGTGGGTTTCCGGGTGAAATTCAGGCTGCTGGTGGTCACCTACAAAGCCCTATGTGGCTGGGGACCAGGGTACCTGAGGGATTGCCTTTTTTCCAAAGTTTCTACTTTCTAACGAGATCAAATAGAATGAGCATTCCGTCAGCTACAGAATGTCGGCTGAGCGGGACTAGAAGACAAACTTTTTCTGCAGCAGCCCCTGCTCTGTGGAACATCCTCCCTTCGGAAATTAGAATAGCCCCAACCCTGTTAGCCTTCCCTAAAGCTTTAAAGGGCTGGCTATGCTCCCAAGGCTGGGGCAACACATAGGCCAAGGGCACCGCCTCCTGGCTATATTGTTAATAGGCCAAATGTCTTACTTCGTATGTACTTGAATTAGACATTTTAATGTTTTTGTTTTAATAGTTTTTACTGTTTTTATTTATTTAAAACGTTTTTGAGATTTTAATTGTACTATATGATTTTGAATTGTGAGCTGTCCAGCGTCATTTACTGAGATGGGCAGCTATGGAAATCAAATAAATACATTTCTAACGAGGATTAAAAATGTAAGAGCACATGAAGTTTCCCTTCCCTCCAATATTAAAGCCTTCTAAAAGAGAGGACGTATTCCCTTTAAATTTATTCCTCTACTTGTGTCACTGTTTCAGTTTGATTTAGAAAAGGTTATTGGTCACCGTGTAATTTAATTAGGCATTCCACTGTACCCAGCTGTTTCCCAATACGGAGATGATCATAATGTACTAATTAAACGTACTTCTATGTCTCTGGCATCTCTGAAACATCTATGATAAGATTAACACAACCACTACAACAATATGAAAATGAAAACCATGCCATATGAGCCCAGATAAGATCTATTAAAGGAGAGTCGGCAGCAGCAGTCCCATCAGGGAAAGTTCTCTGAAACAGTTTGGCTTTTGTGAGTTTCTGAAAAAACAGCAAACAGGGATGCCTACGTGCAGTTGTGGAAAAGTTATTCAAGCTCTAGTCCAAAAGTTCCTAAGCCACGTAGCTTCAGTATCCCACTACGGTCCCTTCCGACTCATCCGAGCCCGGCTAAAGCCAGCGTATTTCCAATTATTGCCGAGCTAACCATAGGAGACTAGTCAACCTTCGAGACTACCTTCGGCAATTGCCGGCCTTAGCCCCAGTGCTTCGAGCCGGGATTACGAGCGTAAGCGAGGAGCAATTAGCCCGATTCTTAGCTTGTTTTTTTTTTTTCTGGATTCTTAAATGAAGTGGAATAACAAAGAGAGATGGTGATAACACCAAACATTATACTTCATGTTCACAAGCGACCAAATAATCACCTTAAGAAGGGGCAAATGCTCCCTCTTTTGTGATATGAAAGTGCCCCGCATAGAAACGCGAACTAGAACCTGAACTAACTCTTGCCCTTATCTATTTTGCATTTGTTGGCATTTATCAGAGAGCGCGGAGGAAAGAACGGCCACTTCCGAAAGGCATTGCTCTAGCGACGGCGACGGGAAGCGGAATCTTGGCGCTGAGTTGACCCCGGCATGTGGTGGTGCTTCGGCCGGAGTCGGCCGGCCTGGCGGAAGTTCGTCGTTTCTTTTCCCTCGGTGTCCGCCGCCCGTTCGCGATGCCGCGGGCAAGCCCTGCCGAGACGCTGGCTCAGCAGCCAGCCGGATTTGCGCGAGTTGTTCGCGAGACCGGCACTTCAGCGCTTCCTGGACCAGCATTCCCGGCCAGAAGAGCAACCTGGCGGCTTCCGCTCGGCATTGGCAGCGCAGATTCGCCTCTTGAGAGACAAGGAAGAGGAGCTGCGTGAGACGGAGCGCTTGGCACGAGAAGGTGAGACGTCTCCTCCTGACGGACTGTCGCCTGATGGCGAATTGGAAGAGGACCGTGCGCGCTAGGTGACAGCAGCCAGCCCACCTTGCAGGGACGCGTGTAAAGTGCTGGGCTTAATACTTTTCAAGTCCACTCAGTGTTGATGGTTCATGTGCTATCAAGTTGGTGTCGATTCAGTCCCCACGTAAAAAGATTTTCTCCCTGAGGATCTGTCCCTAACCTGGTTTCCATATTGCTTCTTTCACTGCAGGGGCTGGATGATGATTTTTTTTCCTTTATGTAGCTATAACGCATGATAAAGTAATAAAGCGCTAACCACTAAATTCTGTTCGACCATTCAGTAAAGATGGACATTCCTGTGAAACTCAAGATTTGTATTTTATTATGTAGTGATTTCTAGCTACCTTGATCCTGGATATGTAGTGCCCTAGTTCCAAATGGTTAAAAACTTTGAATTGTTATGCTGCTTTATCAGCAATTTAGAGAAAAAAGTGCAAGAAGTGGAACTCTAAACCAGTGAATAAACATTAACCAGATAATCTGGTCTGGTTTACTCTAATTTACTCTAAAGCAGCTGGTAATCTGAGACAGAATGCCATGGCCAGGTTTCTGAATTAAGTTCTAGTTCATTACAGATAATCTTTGACTTAAGACTGCAGTTGAGTCCAAAATTTCATTACTAAGCAAAAAAGAGTTGTTAAGAGAGTTTTGCTCCATTTTATGACCTTTCTTGCCAGAGTTGCTAAGCGAATCACTGTACTTGTTAAGTTAGTAACATGGTGATTAAGTGAATCTGGCTTCCTCATTGACTTTGTCAGAAGGTTGCAAAAGCGATCACATGACCTTGGTGCACAGCAGTTGTCATAAATACATGCCAGTTGCCAAGCCTCCAAATTTTGATCACATGACCATGGGGATGCTTAAGTGTGAAAAATGGTCCTAAGTCACTTTTTTCAATGCCATTGTAACTTTGAACTGTCACTAAATGACAGTTCCATACTTGTGGTTGATATCTGGATGGAAGAAGAGTTAGGAATACTAAATAACCAAGAAAGCGGAAAGGAATTGTGAGCCAGAGAGAAAAGATTAATTGTATTATGATAATAGTGTGCTGTCTTATTCTAGATGAAAATGAAGATTTGCGGAAGCTTGCAGAAAAGGAAGTTATTTCCTGTCAGGAAGAGATAGAAGAATTGAGATATCAGGTACATCACTCATTGAAGTATGATATTTAAATTCAAGACTAACTTGATAAGAGATTGTCAAATGTTATTATTTTGCCGTCTTTCTCTGCTGCCCCACTTCATTTCATGGTTCCCCCCCAAATTTTGGTTATTTTCAGGATTTAATTTCAGGGGAGAATCCCATGAATCTGGATTTTTTTTTTGTTATGAATAGAATATGTGCGGTTTAGGAGTGAACTGTTGAGTTCTTGATGCTTTCTGAGCTTAGTTGGTTTCTTAAAGATGTTTCATTACCAGGCTACAGTTTCAATGTGTTGGTAGCTATTTGATATTGAAACTTATGTATACTTGGCTGATCTAAATCAATTCATCAACTAACACTAAGCAACTGTATCACAGGTATATCCATTGGATTTAGGGAAAAAGTATTGAACATTTGTAATATATTACATAATTTTTAAAATATAGACACTGGTACTTTTTTATTTCAGCCCACTCCAGGAAGCATTCCTTGCTGAGGGAAATTTTACTTAAATAAAAAAGCCATTTTTTATGTATTTCAGATAGTATCACTTTTGATTCCTTCAGAGAAAATTGACAAAAATGATCTTGTCATAGAGGTGACTGCTGGAGTTGGAGGGCTGGAAGCAATGTTGTTCACTGCTGAGATGTTTGATATGTATGAACAGTATGCAGCATATAAAAATTGGACTTTTGATATTCTGACATATGCTTCCAGTGTTATAGGCAAGTAATCTTTTGAAATTCTGGCATGTACTTCCAGTATTATCAGCAAGTTGTCTTGGATTAACAAAAGAAATTGCTTAACTCTATAGCAGACATGTCAAACACAATGCCCGGGGACCGGATGCAGCCCGCGAAGTGGTTTCATGTGGCCCACGAAGCCATCCTGGAAACAGTGAGGGAATGGCCCCCTCTGCCTTGGCCCTGGCCCAGACCAGCCGGGAGCCAATGTACAATTTTGTGGTGGCCATCTATGCTGAAACGCATTCAGTCTTAGCTCCATAAGCCCCCCCCCCCGCATGGCCTGAGAGGAACAGTGAGGCTCCTTCAGTGGACCATGCCTTGGCACTTGCCCTGCCAGAGACCCTCTTCCCCTTCTGCCAGAGACCCTCAGATCTGTCCCACTCCTGCCCAGGTCCCCACAGGTACCCTTGACGCGAACGATGTAGAGCTGGCCACACCCACTCCATCTACGCCCACCCAGTAGGCTGCACCTAC